CCACATGTGATTATCAGCCAGGCTGGCACAATTAACTAACTCAGTGGGGAAAAATGAGCTGATGCCAAGGGCTCCAGTAGAAAGAAAATGTTTTGAAAATGATGATGGCAACATATGTACAAATGTGCTTGACAAAATGGATGTATGTATGGATTGTGATAAGAGTTGTACGAGCCCTCAACAAAATGACTTAATGTCAAAACAAAACAAAAACCCAACTTTTATATAAATATACATGACCTATTAGGGATAAGAAGGAAAGGAGAACAATTGATAGTAACAATTTCTTTTTTCTTCCTCCAATAGAAAAAGACCCTGTTCAATTTCAACAAAAAGCCCTATCAAGAATTTAACCGCTATTTGACAGCCATGGTTGGTTGCTTCTGGACATCCAATTCCTCCTACCAGAAAGGTTTCTACCATGAAATCATAGATCTTGACCCTGGGATCCTAGAAGAAGCTAGACTAACAAATTATAGACATGGTTTAAATTTAGCTCATAATCCTGCTCTAATTGGATATGCGGTTTCCTTTCTGCTACAGGTAAGCATATCTAAAGGAATTTCAGAGTTTTGTAGAACACTGTTATGGCAGAACAAGGAACTGCCAAACTGACTGAATTTTGTTCATTCTACTGTGCTCTAGATAACCCTGGTGATTCAGTGTTTAAAGCACTGAGTTGCCCATTGGAAGGTCAGTAGCTCAAACCCACCGACCTTTTTACAGTAGAAAGATGTGGCAGTCTGCCTCTGTAAAGATTGCAGCTTGGAAACCCCATGGGGCAGTTCTTTGCCCCATAGGGTCGCTGTGAGTCAGAATAGTCTTGACGGCAATTGGTTTCCTTTGGGTTTGGCGGTAGGTTCTTGGGGATTGAAAGTTACGTGAAGTGACTGCACCGAGAGCTGGGCCTTGTAGCACAGACAGACTTATAAACAAATACGACAGTACAGTGGGGAAGTGACAAATGTGTAGCTTTAGGAAATATAAGGGAGTGATTAGTTAGGTCCTGGTTGAGAGCCAAGAAAAGGCTTCACGGGGATGCATGTGGCCATAAGATCCTAATAGCCAAGGTGGAAAGTGTAGGTTAGACATTTTTAGAATTAGATTCTTAGCCAAATATTGGGGGAGAAGCTCCTCGGGACTTTATCACCAGCACTGCTATTTTCAACTTTTAGTGGCTTGGGGGAAGAGCTCAAATGGTATGCTTATTAAATGGGTGGATGACATGACGACGTGGGATTACAAATGCCTTGATAGGAGGATGGGGATTCAGAATACTGATAAATATATCAAAATGGAAGACAAACGTCCTATAGGAAGTGTGAGAGATAGTCATTGGATCAATGTTTAATGCATGCAAACAGTAAACTGGGCACTATGGGGAATAAGACAAGTGTTATCTTCACAGAGCTTCAAGTTTAGTTGGAGAGGCCGTCATTGAGCAGGCATCTAGGAATAAAATCTGACTAGTAGTGTAATATGGGGATGTGGAAGGAATGATGAACAAATATACAGAGGGTGCTAACCCAGTTCGGGTTTATTAGAAGTGGTCCTAAAGGGTGAACTTGTACTTACCAGGTGCAGTATTAGTGAAAAGGTGCAAAAGCATAGAGCAAAGATAGGTTAGAGCAGCAGTCAGCCAGGTTTTTCAACAAAGGGCCAGATAGTAAATAGGTTTAGCTGGCAGTATGGTCAAGGCTCTTCAAGTTTGTCATTATAGCTTGAAAGCCTCCATAGATGATGTGTAAACAGCCGTGGCTGTGCTTGAATAAAAATTTTATTTATAGAAATAGACAGTAGGTTAGATCTGACCAATGCACTGTGGTTTTCTCTGACACCTGTGTTAGGGTATGCTATGCTTGAAGCATGTGAAATAGGTTTGTAGTGCTTGATTCAATCCTGAATAAGCAGTAGAATTACTTATGGTGCTTTTCCACAGTATACTTTCTTGGCTGATCACACTCTGAGGTCCTGATTGAATAACCCTGGTGTAATAGGCAGGATCTGCTTTTCTAATATAATGATTGTGATACACAGCAAAGGTGGCAAGCCACTGGGTTAGACTACACTGTGACATGAGAGAGATTTTGAAAAGTAATCAAGATCACACATGTTGGTGTGCTGCTTCCATGTGGGCTTTGTTGCTTCTGGGCTAGATGGCCACTTGTTTACTTTCAAGCCTTTAAGTCCCCAGACGCTATAGGTCTCAATAGCCAGGCACTATCAGCCTTCTTCACCACACTTATGCACACATTCGTCTTCAGTGTTTATGTGGGTAAGGTGGTCACACAATGATGGTTTTTGTTCTTTGGTGTCTGCT